TTGTTAGGGATGGCCTGCCTTTTTTCTTTCCTCAGCACCCTGGGTTATTGACTATGGTGATTAGAGCCAACTATCTCTAGTTAGTCTACCTCAGAATGGAGACTTTAAAGAATATTCCCAAGCCACTGCTGAAACTCCTTTTAATTGGGGAAAGTTCTCGGTCTTCTCTAGCCCAACATGTACTGCCTAATTCCACTTGGTGGAAAAACCTGGTGTCTGCTCATCTGTTCACGTTGACAGACTTTAGGACCAGGAGACCTCTCTGTCTGCTCTCTGGGCTTTTATCTGCCTTAGGCTTTTGGGCAGAATCTTGCCTCTTCTGCCTTCTTCTCCCCCTTCTCCTGTTTCTGCACCACCTTGGGTGAGGCCTGCATAACAGGCTGCTGTACCATCCTCAGTGCCTCAGGCATCATTGGTTTCTCCTCCCACCCTCTGATGTCAGGGAGCGAAGAGCATTCCCTTGGGCCACCACTTCAGATCTCCCCACCAGTGTGCCAGGTAAAAACTGACAATAGGGAACAAACTGATTGTCTTTTAAGCGGATGCAAGAGAAACTTTGGTATTTAAATGAATTCAGGTTTGTTGGTTTAATTAAAAATAGAGTCAGCATTAAATAGAAAACTTTTTATTCTATCTAGCTTTACTGAAGGTCAAATTAGCTTATGTTATCTCTGTTGCAATTTCTTCGCAAAAGGGTGACTTAAAATGATGATTAATTCTTAAAGTTTTCGTGGGTAATTGTTAAGATAGCTTTCAAAGTCTTTGGCAACCTGAAACTTAGAAGTTTTGCTAGCATGATCAGTTGAAATTGAATTCATTGGACATCTAGGTCTTTTCCAAACGAGATAAAGTGCTAAAGCATTGACTGCTAAACATAGGTTTGTGCTTTTTACTTCTTATTGCACAGAAACAAAGGATATTTGGGTCTTTTGGAAAACATGCTTTTGCTTAATTGATAATTTTGCCATCTGCCGAATTCTGTAACAGTTCACAATTGGTTACTACTTAGTTTTCATTGGAGACTAAGGTTTCTTAAGAGTTAAAATTCTGCTTCATGTGGGGCGCCTGGGTGGCGCAGTCGGTTAAGCGTCCTGACTTCAGCCAGGTCACGATCTCGCGGTCTGTGAGTTTGAGCCCCGCGTCGGGCTCTGGGCTGATGGCTCGGAGCCTGGAGCCTGCTTCCGATTCTGTGTCTCCCTCTCTCTCTGCCCCTCCCCGTTCATGCTCTGTCTCTCTCTGTCCCAAAAAGAAATAAAAACGAAAAAAAAATTCTGCTTAATGTAATTAAGACTGATAAGAAAGTTACTATGTAGAAAAGTAGGATATATGTAAGGAAGGGGAATACATTTTTGTTGAAGGTATAAGAAGGTAATTTTGTCCCAAATGAGACTGGTTGCTTGGAGAAAAGGGGCTTAGGTCACAAGCTGAAAGGAAAGGAAAGTTGTAGAAGGTTTGTGAAGGGAAATCGTTGGAAATAAATTTTGTATGTGCTCAGGATGGACTAAGGTTAAAATAAATGGATTTTAAAAGTACACTGGTATAAGATTAAAATTCTGCCCTAGTATCTGTTAAAAAAGCACAGGTTTCTTGGATTGTCAGTATGCTTTTGACTAAAAAAAAAAAGGTAAACAAAGGTTTTCCCCCACTTCTGTCTGCCCAAAAAGATGGGGGAGAATGTGATTTTAACCAAAAAAGCAGGACAGCGTGCCCTTTTGATTTGTTTTACTCAAGCCTTGAAATGTGCCCTCCTTCGATCCAAAGGCTGGGGAGATGGTGACAGTGTCCTCGCTGCCGGACTCCAAATGCTCCATATTTGGGTTGTTTCTGTTTCGAACAGGAATGGATGCCTGTGCCATTTAAGGGATAGATCACTATAATATATAAAGGGCTTTCACTAGAATACATAGGAGCCATTTTGCTACACTTAGCCCAGTGTCCTCCAATTTGTAACAGCCTAGATACTCGAAATGGCTAGAACACATTTCTGTGGGCACTGCTGAAAAAGGCGAGGAAATAGACCTCTCCTTTGGCCCTTTTAGCCCTCTGGGCAGCCAATTTTATCCTTACAAAAAATGGTTTTCACAAGCCTTTTAAAATATATTTGTAAAGATGATTATTCTTGGGCCAAAATAAAATGAGTGCATCCTTCTAAACCAGGGAAGTCTTGCTTGGTCGTAGTCGATACCCCCAAAGTCCTGCAGGCAGAAAACAGAGCGATAGGAGAAATCAGGGAAGACAAGGTCAGTTCTTGGAGGTAGGGTCAACTTGGACAAGAGTGACTGCTCCCAGCACCTCACGAGACTGACAAAGCTTTTGGCTGCCAGTGGAGTAGCCAGGCAAAATGCAGGGCCAGGAGATGAGGCTTCTTCTCCTGTCCAACTATCAGGATCAGGACATGAAGCTTCTCCTGGCCAGCTATGGGACAATTAACATAAGGGGTGCCTCTTCCTCCTTTTCCTATAGATGGGCAATTCTCCAACCAAGGCCAATACTCCTGTGGGATGCATTCTGAAAAGTTGGGATGATTTTGATCCATAAATTCTGAAAGAAAAAGATAAAGACAACTCGCTAATTATCATGGGGTTGGAGGCCCTATAGGGAACTTTTGGTTTCCTACTGGGGTCCAGGTAATTACATCCCAAGATCCTAATTGAGACTATGACCATCCCATTAAGAAATGGTATTGCCACCACTTCCAAGCTTGTGCTTTAGAGACATTAAGGAGGTCTAAGGTTAAGCCCTTGAATTATGTTAAATTAGCCACTATTTTACAAACACAAAATGGGAGCCCGATGGCCTGCCTAGAGAGGTTTAGGGAGGCTCTCATGAAATATATGGCTATCTCCCCTGACACCCCTGAGGCTGAGATGATTTTACATGACAAATGTGTCACTCATTTGCCCCCAGATATTCAGAGGAAGATGCAAAAATTGGCGATTGGCCTGGAAGGGACCCTGGAGGAGGTGGTATGAGCTGCCAATTGGGGACATTACAACTGAGATCAAAACAAAACAAAAAAACAGGAAAGGAGCCTTAAGAAAAATGGGAGGCCTTAGTCATGGCCTTACACACTATGTCAGAGGAAGATGGGCACCAGAGGCAGGGCCTGAGGTGTGGCCTGAGCACAAGGTGACTGCCTCCTCTCTGTAGACAGAGAAGGTGGGGGAAGGGAAGAAGAGAACTCAGAAGCCCCTTTTTGTCTTTTTAATCTATGCTTGCATCATTAAGATTGTATTTGGAGAGATATAATTGAAAAAAAATTTTTTTTAATCTTGATTTATATTTGAGAGAGAGAGACAGAGTATGAGCAGGGGAGGAGCAGAGAGAGAGGGAGACACAGAATCCGAAGCAGGCTCCAGGCTGTGAGCTGTCAGCACAGAGCCCAACTCGGGGTCAAACTCGCAAACCGTGAGATCATGACCTGAGCCAAAGTCGGACGCTCAACCGACTGAGTCATCCAGGCACCCCAAGGAGAGATGTAATTTTTGATTCTTGATAGCATTTGGAAGCTTCAAAATGCCTACTGAAATAAGCATCTCATTCAGTTTTGTCAATTTTAGAACCCTGGTTGTCCAGTTTAGCTTTGAGAAAATTAAGTTTGAAATGACTGAAAGTTCCCCATCGTGGCCATTGAAGTTCTAAATTATTTCTGGTTAAGTCAGTCTATTTATTTATAAATGTGCATACAGAGAGGGACCATAGTTTTTAAACATAAAACCATCCAGAGTCCCAGTAGGCAGGATGCCCTCAAAGCATTTTGATGTCTGGGATCCCATTTCTTAGAAGGTTTTCAGGGACAGCCTGTTTCCAGAAGGAATCAGACCAAAGGCCAGCACAGTTCCAGAGAGAACAGTTGAGCCCCAAAAAGATCATAGACTGAAAGCTAACACAGTTCCAACAGGCAGAGTTCCAATGGGAACAGTCCAGTTGCAAAGGGAAATAGGAACAAAGGCCGTCACAATTCCTACTGGCACAGTTCCAACTGGAAAGGTCTGATTTTGAAAAGGACTCAGAGTGAGGGCTAGTCCAGTTCCATTAGGAGCAGTCTCATTCAAAACAGGAACTAGACCAAAAGCTAGCACAGTTCCTTTAGACTTAAGGCCAAATGAGTACCCTCTGAGATGATTAAAGAAAAAAAAAAAAAACATCGTAAATAGATCTCAAATACATCTTGGAGAACTGAGACATGAGGTGTGGAGCTTGAAAACCAGGAGAAAACTTGTCCTTAAAGCCCCAGGGTAGGCATGAAAGCAGCTCGGAAATGTCCATGGGTACTGCACCTGTTGGCTAGCCAGCTCTGGAGCAGTTGGGGTCTTCTCTGGAGCCCACTTCTGATCACCAAGAATTGTTAACCTTAAAAATAGAAACTGCCAGTTATTTTACCAAAAGAAGATGGTTTTATTCAGGAATGAAAAATTGTACTCTGGGACATACAAGCCGTGGCAAAACCATAAGCAAGGACAGGAAACAAAGTCGGGGGGGGATGCTTTTTTTAAGGAGAAAAAGGGTAAGTAGGAAAGTCCGATTAAAAGTCCATTGGTGTAAAATGGTGGTTTGAAATGTGGTGGCTTCTCATTGTCTGAGCTGTTGCAGAGATGGCGGTAGTGAGGAAAGAGTTTCGTCCCTCTGGCTGGAGTAGTCGATGAGTATCCACATGCAAGGTCAAGTCTTTGTAAGGTCAAGACCTTCTTTTCCTGTTGTGTGAGCCTGAACTCTTCCTAATCTGGAAGAGCAAACATTAGAGAACCAGTAATGTTCCAAACAAAAGTCATAAAAATTACAATTTTTTTCAGTTCACTTAGTGTCATGTTAGTAATCTTTTGTTCACTTTGAATGCAGCTTTTTAGTTCTAGAAATTGTTGCCCATTTCACTTTTATGATTTTAAAGATATCAAAAAGCTGTATTTGTTTTTTTTTAAGAGTTCTTTTTATGAACCTCCTTGAAGATGAAACTCATTTTGCAAGTGACAAAACACTGTAATGCACTTGACAAGAAAATTCAGTTATTTCTGTAACACAGAACACTTCAATAATCAGAATATCAAGTCATAACCTTATGATCAAAGCATATTAAAACTGCAGGAATTTCACATATATATTTGAACAGTTACAGCATTGACCCAAGCAATACAACCTAAGGTTTATCATTATTTGAGAGTTCTTTCCAAGGAATTTAACATACCAACCAAAAAGTCTAATTAGTCAAAAAGACTTCATTTACAATTCACATCTTGAGGAAGTTTGTTAAAACCCTCAGAAAGTTTTACAGTTATTTATTTTGAGAGAAAGAGAGCACAAGTGGGGGAGGGCCAGAGAGAGAAGGAAACCGAGAATCCAAAGCAGGCTCCAGGCTCTGAGCTGTCAGCCAGAGCCCGACACAGGGCTCGAACTAACAAACTGTGAGATCATGACCTGAGCTGAAGGCAGACGCTTAACCAAATGAGCCACCCAGGTGCCCCAACCCTCAGAAAGTTTTAAAGTACATGTCTAAATAGGATTATTGGTCATTATGAAACTTGAAACTTAATTATTTATTTAACCAAGGTGCCATGAAGATTTTAAAGGCAAATATGTAGGGTTATATAGCTGTGAGTAAAACGTAGCTCCTTTAATATTGAGAAGTTTTAACCTTTTTTAAGTAACCAAAGACGCGATAAAGGCAAAACACAAAAACTTTGGTTTTCTAGGGAGACAAAAGAGAA